CAAAATATATAGACTCTGTGCCTCACTCTCGTTCACCCCAGCATTCTGTCTCCTCAAACAATACGCGGAACTATGTATCATTAACTAGTTCCACCGCAAAATGGGTGAGTGTAAATAGACAGTCGACTTTAGGGCATTCCACAAACCGGATTAATGGGCGACATTATATGATAGTGGCTTTGTTCGCGTACACAACTGCATGGTAACGAAATCATCTTCAATTTCATCTTTATTCAACTTCGTTTCATTTTGCTTATGTATATTCAAATAATTCGATAGTTAAGAATATGACAAACCATTTTTCACTTAATATATAATTAAAAAAATTTTTGTTTGAAGTTTAATGAATAAAAGGATATTTAAAACAAAAATACGATGCTGACTATTTTCAACACTTGTTAATGCTGGTTGAGTTTGACCATCTCTCACAACCAAATCAATCATATGATCCCTAGGGTCTGTAGTTATTTAAGTTATATTAAGTTTAATAAAAATAGTTGAGTAAAAAATAAAGATGGAATGATAACGGTACCTTTTTTATCAAGGTCCTTATGTTCCTTTATTAGTTTATATTTCCTGACTTCTATATCATGTAAAATAGCTTCTCTTGCAATGCGTCTTTCATGCTGAATATAACGTTTACGTATACATAAATAAAAATAATTCATGAAAATTAATTGAAATAAATTTACTTTCATTTACCAAAGCTACGTGACGTATTTGCGAAACTTGTGATTCATACAAATTTTGACTTTGTTGAATCTCTAGTAAACGATTGTTTTCAAGAAGCTGCTGCATTTTTTGATGTTCTTCATCCAATCTCCCTATAGTTTCCACATATGCGGGATGTGTCTTCTCGATTAACGATAGGTATTCATCTTCAAGTTCCTTCTTTTTATAAGCCAAAACACTATAAAATGAACCAAAAGGAGAATGATCAATTCAGAACAGCAAAAAACAACAATCGAAAGAAAAAGAGAAAATGGTAAATACCTAGCCTTGATATTAATAAATTCACAAACCTTTTCTCGGGCACGTTTTTCTATAGCCCGGTATGCGCGCTTTTTTGCCAAATCATCTTCATCGTCTGATGGGTGACTAGAGTAATCTATCTCGATGGTCTTTCCTATATAGAAATATAAATAATGCGTAGGGCAAAGCGTTAAGACCACAAGTTTTGCAACTCTAGAATGTCACCAGTGAACATTGAAAACAAATACTTACCAGTAGCTTTCTTTGTCTTACTGGATTTTTTGTGAACCACTCCGTCTTTTTTGTTACTTTGGCAATTCCGCCTCTTAACCTTCGTTAAACTCTCTGAGAGTTGTCGCGGAGGGTCGACAGAACTAGCGCGCGTTGTCGCTGCAGATATAGTCGCCGACGGCGTAACAGTATCAGCTGGTTTGTTTGTGAAAATTATTTGTGACTTCTCAGAGTCAGTGTCGCCTACGAACGTAATAATATTTTAGTGGTTTAAGAACTTTTTATAACAAGAAACGTAAATAAAGCTCTACTTACATTTAAAAGGAAGTTCAGTCCTCGTTGACGCTCGTGTTGTAGGCCTCTCACTGACCTTTGTGCCTTTAATAATTTTACTGGTCTTTGAAGTCATTCTGCTTGCCTTTGAGAATACAAAGATTAAAAAAAATATCAAGTTTACTATACGGTGGTCGAAAATTGAATAAGCTATTTATATGAAATTATATCTAACGCTAACATTTCATTAAATCAGTGGGTGGCTTAGCGTCTATGCAAAGGCTCTGTAGTACAAGACTATCAAAATACATGTTATTTAGTACTGCGCCGGAAAATGTTAATGAAATGAAACGAGATTTGATATTATTCTCTATATAGTAAGAAATATAGATATGAAGCTATTTTGTTAGAGATAGATTCTTTGAAATTATATTATCGAATTCTGTTCTGGTAAAGAACTAGTTTATCAAAAATAAACTTTTTAAGAAACGTAAAATAAAAAGAACAAGTTAAAGTAACTATGCTTAAGCATTGCCTTTATATAGCTGACCACAACAAAAGCGCAGATTATCACGTGGGTTTTCGGATTCCGAAATTATATTGATATGATGCGATTGCTGTGGTAACGCAAAAAAAATTGTCTATAATCTGATACAGTGCACGACACTTAAAGACTAATAATTTCAAAGCCAATATCCCATAATACTGAAAGATACAAAAAAAAAAAGCCACCAAATTGTAACTAAATTAATTTATTACAACTTAAAGGTTTTGTTTTTAAAAAAATAATTATTGTATTTATAGTATTTTTAAGTTATACTATTTTAAATATACAGTATGTTATAATTTATATATATATAATATATATATTACAAATTTAATGTTATATACTTTGATTTTTTGCTATTAGTCAACTTAAAACATTTTAATTAAAATACAAAAATAACAAAAACTACAAAAATATTAAAATTTTTAAAAGCAAGACAGTATATATATATAAATTAATTTTTAAATACTCTAATACTTTTAACACTAATACAAATATTTAATCTAAATATTATCTTTTTATTTTGTTAATATCAAGTTTAAAAATAAAATAGTAGATTACAAATTTATCATAAAGATATAAATTAGATATTTTTTTACTAATTATTTAATAATTTATACAATAAAGTTAACTATTATTTGTAGTTTAAGAAAATTACAGTATTAAATTACTATAAAGAATTATTTTTATTTTTATTTTTTTTTAATAATTCAGCAGTTTTGCCACTACTTTATTAGGCTTTATAATATTATAATTTTAATTTTAAAAATTTTAAACAAAAAATTATTCTTCTTGCTATCTAAATTTATAAATATTAGCTTACTTAGTTATTTAAAGAACATCTATATATGATCTGCTATATATAGTAAGATTTTACCTTTATACCACCTTGTCCTGTATTTAGACAAGTTGATGTTTTATTAAATGGTTCTTATAGCCTGTCAAGACTACTACTTAATTTTTCACCAATCTGCTTGTTACCTTTCTTTAATTCAATTTATATATAATCTCTTCTTTTATTATATTTATAATAAACCTTCTTTTTTTTTAATATAAAATCTTCTTATTGCTATACTTGTCTTATTTTTACTTTTCTTATTTTCCTTCTTTTCTTTTCTTTTTATAATATTGTATTATTTGGCTTTTTGTAATATACCAACTTTTTTTTCTATTTTTGAACAAGTTTGTATTAGGTGACCCAGATTTTTTTATAAATTTTTTGTATTCAATTCTTTTAAAGCTTCACTATAAAATTTACTGCTTGGTTATTTAAGATAAAAGATAGTCTTAGTTTATTAAAGTTTTTTTTCATAATAAGGCTTCTTATTCACCTTTTTCTTTTTTATTACTCTTTTGCTAAACTTCTTTTTTCTATTATAGCTAAGATCCACTTCTTCTTTTTTTGCAAATTTTTTTCTTCTTTAACTTTTAAAATATTCTTTCTACTTTTTGTTTCTCTATCTTTCTTAGTAGGTTTATTAAAACTTCATAGCTTATTAAATATTCTATATTTTCTACTTCTTTTTTATATATAATATAAGTGCTAGCTTTATATATCTCTAGTTTTTTCTGGTTTAGTTTTTCGAGAACTAATAATAAATTGTTTATATATTTTAGTTCAAAAATCTATATAGTATTTGTTTTGAAAGTATAGTTTTGCTACTTGGTTCTACTTGCTAGTATTTTATAAAAAATAAGCCAATGTTAAAGTGTTTTTTTTTTTTGATATGTTTTGACTACTATTTCTGCTCTGTTTATTATCTTTTCTAGCATTTTAATAAAGGAGCATATAAGCTTTTTTACAATTTTATTTTCTTATCTATAAATTCTTTCATAATCAAATCTGTGAAAGTAAAAAGTTCTATAGAATTTATATCCTCTTTGGTTCTAAGATCTGCCAAATTGTTGTAGAAATTTTCTAAGTAGTTTTTAATCTTTGTAAACTATATATTAAGGTGCTTTGTCTTTATAGTCTTTACAATAGTAACTATTAGACTATTGTTTTTAAGCTTTAATCACTTTTTTGTCTTGTTTGCTTTTTTTAAATCTTTTTTAATTGTTAGAATTGCTACACTGTTATTAGTTTATATTTTTACTATTTTTTCTTTTAGCATAATTAACAAAGCAACTAGAACTGCTACCAATTCTGCTCTAGTTAAAAAAAACTACTTCTCAGTTACTATTACAATCTGTTAAGCTATTTGTCCTTCAAATATGACTTGAATTACCTCACAACCTATATTTAACTCCTGTGTTTTCTGATATACCAAGTGAGCTATCTATATAAAATACTAAACAATTTATCTTTTTATTTTGTTCTACTATATCTATAAACCTATCTTCTACTATTTTTAACTACTTTTACTTATCAAGCAAATCTCACAATTTGAACAATCTATTGTACTTATTTTTTTTTGTTTGAGAATATATAATTCTCTTGCCATTACTAGAGTTTTTTTTTTTGTATCTTTTTTAATTACCTTTTCTAGTAAGCAATTTTCAAATATTAGCTATAGATCTATTTTTGCTTTTTGTACTATATTTGAAATATCTCTAAGCTTATTGTGTTTTATTTTTGTTTTTTTGTCATGCTTTAGCAAGTTTTTATCTATACTCAGTAATACTTTTCTTTTTATATAATTTTTACCTTAATATACTTGTTTTTTTATTTTACTATTTTTTTCAATTCTAACTTGTATATAGTTTTTGTGAGCCAAATAACCCACTCTTTTGATCTTTTATCTTTATTTAATTTTTCTGTAACTACTTTGGGTGTATTTGGATTTCACAACTCTAATTTATATATTAGTTTGACTTCTCTTGTTAACTCATTTGCAATAACCTCTTTTTCTATTTCTTTAAACCACTTTGGTTTTTTTTCTTTTAGCTTAAGTTTATATATATGTTTTTTTTTTTTTTAATATTTGGGGTATAGCACCTGTCACAAACTTTATTTAATACTTAAATGATTAACATATGATGGTGCTGATACATATACATATTATATATAAGAACTAGAACTAGAATATCAAGTTATACAAACTATTTATCCATAGCTAAAACCCATCAGAGCCTTCTTGTACTCTCACTATATAGCTAACCTAGGTTTGTACTTTCCTTTTTAACTGCTAATTAGCATTTACATATCCATCACATTACCTATATTACCTACTATCTCAACTCCCAAATTAGTATATATTACTCCAGGTAGGTGTTGACACATGATCAGGTCATAACAGATCATATTACTAAGTTCAATTAGAGAGGTTATATAACCTTAGTTATATGATTTTATTAATTAAACTTAGTAATATGATCTGTTATGACCTGGTCATATACCAACACTGCTTCAGGTAGGTACTTTTTGCTTTTGGTTTGGTGTGTCTAATAGAGAAACTTTCTCTTAATTCCTATTAGCATACTTCTAGGAGTTCATATCTCAAGCTATGCAGCTGCCTTTACTCAATTGGATAAGTATCTCAAGCTTGCATACTACTGTAACTAGCTAGTTTTCTGCAACTTTGAGACCCAGGTTTTAATATATTGAATTTGGTAATTGTGCTAATGACTGTACTCCCCAATATAGTGATGAGGCATCTAGACATGTTTTGCATATGCTTCCAGTACTTAGTATAGTTAAATAGCATCATGAGACTTCTTGTATAACAAGTACATCATTGTTTTTTTTTATGGTGATTCTCAGCATTGTAGCTTGGTTACAACTACATACACTTATACTAGCTATACCTATATTGGTAGTTACAGGTCCTCTTAATATCTGAAGACTTCCATACAGGTATGACCAGAGCCTGTTGGATCTATCAACACATATACGCCTTCATATTTTAACTTCTTATTGGTTAGAGAATTCTGTACGATGCTAGAGGTGTTCCAAATTTGGTAAGGCCAATTCTTTATCACAGGTCTCTTTGTGTTTTACCACTTTTCTCACTACTCCAATTCTAGTTACCATCTGATTATCCTCTCAATCAAGATCCCCAATGCTGCTTTAGGAGTTGCTGGTGCTATCTATACCAACTGAGGATTTATACACACAATCTTTAGGTAATAAAACTTTTAGTAATATCTGCCTGTTACACATAGTGCCGCCTCTTCACAATGAACTTTTTTTTGGAAATTTCTATTTCAAATAAGTACTTACTTGAACTTTCTACATGTGAGTATATTTAAATATTTGTAAATAAACGTATCTACTAAGACTTGAACCTGAAACCTGCTCATGAAGAGTTGGGTATCTAGACTACTAGGCCACAGGATCCTAACCTCCTATATATATATTTTTCACCTCTATACATACAAAAAGTTATTATTTTTTGGTAGAAGTTATGAGAGTAGACAAAGCCCTGCATTGCTTGTATTTAATTTTTTATATTTGAGTTTGCTTTTTTTCAGAACTGTTACAATTTTATAGTCTTCTAAGATTTGTATAAGCTTTGTATTTCAACTTTTAGTAAATTTATTTTTTTTTACTAGAAACCTAAAAGATTTTGCTTATTGTAATATCTGTATTTCTAAGTTTCATATTTTGAACAATTTCCTTTTCAAGAGATTTGATTTGTTAATATGCATTTTGCTAAGCCAACTTTAAATTGCTCTTGTTTTACTTATTGTTGTTGATTTTCTAAAGATCTACTTGTATTTAGTCTTATTAAAAGCTCTATAAACTGGTCTTTATATATTGACTTCAAAGGTTTATAAAGTTTTTTACTTTTAGATGTTTAAAAATTATATTTGCTATTGTAGATAGCATTGATATTTTCTATTTAACTAAATACAATATAGGCTAATATATTTTATCATATTGTATTTTGGTTAAGTATAAAAGTATAAATCTGTATTCTAATATAGATACAAGTACTGTATTATTTATATATATTATTTGGTTAAGAGATATTTTTTTATATTTAAGTAGACTAGTAATCTTATTTATTTCTTTTTTTACTCTATCTATATCTAACTTTTGCTAACTTCTTAGTAAGATCCAAACTTTTAAAAAGCATATTGTTTCTTTAAAACTCTTAGCTAAAATTCTTGTTTTTGAATTTTCTGCCCAAATAAAGCATTTATTAATATTTTTTTTTTCTTTTTGTTTTTTGGCTTGAATACTATGAGCTTAGTTTTATTTCAATATCATTTAGTTCATAGAACTCATTAGAGATGTTAATTGTTTTCTGTATATTTTTTTGACAACTTGTTATCTATATAGTATCATCTATATATGCTAGAACATCTATATATAATTTGTTGAGTTTTATCAATTTATAGACACTTTTTATTTTATATTCCAGTTTGGCACTTTGAACTCTATATAGCAATAAGTCATAAAATATTCTTCAGACCAAGGGTAAAAGAACTTCTCCTTAATCTATATTATCTTCTGTTTCAAAAAAATCTGTATTTTTATATTCTGTTATAATGCATAGCTTTCTATTTTTATATAGATATATGATAAAGTCTACAAGCTTTACTAGAAATCTAAATTTTTTTAAGGCTTTCTGTAATGCAACTATGTTTACAAAATCAAAGGCTTTTTTCATATCTTAATAGACAATTCACAACTCTTGTCTTTTTTTAATTGCTTTTTTAACTATGTTGTTCATAATATAAATAGGTACTGCTATACTTTCTCTTGATAGGCCTGCAAAGTTTGTATTTTTTAAAATATTGTTTTCTCTTAGTACTTATCTAGTCTTGCTTGTATAACTCTTGTTAAGATCATTCTGTATGTTTTAAATAGTACTATTGGCCTAGTATGACTCAGGTTGTATTTCCAAAATTTATCTTTTAGGATTAAATAGAGCTAGCCTAATTTTCACTTTTCTAGTATCTTGCTATACTCCAAAATTGCATTTAAGAATAAAATTAGTTTTTTAGTTATTTTGGTTAGTAGTTTTTTAAACAATATATAACCAATTTCTGAAAAGCTTAAAGCTGTTTTGTTTTGTGTTTTACAAAGAGCTTGTGTCTAATTTTCTTCATCAATTGGGCTTATTATATTCATTTACAAACTTGAGTTTATTTCTTCTCTCAGACTGTATTCTTTTTGCCAAATCAGGCTTATACTTTCAAGCTTTTGTATTCTTTCTTTGAATTGTTTTTAAAAATGCTAAGCTACTTGCTGTTTGACTTCTAGCTTATCACTAATAAGCTCTTGGTTTTGATAGTACATGTTTTTTCTATGAGTATTCTATCTAGCAATATTCTATTGTATAGTTTGTTTAAGAAACTTTGTAATATTTTTTTTTTGTTTTTTTTCATCATACTAAGTTTTTGTTTAATTTTAGTTCTAATTTCTTTTTTTTTAATTTTATTTTCTTCTTCTTCTGCTTTTTTCTACAAAACTTTGCCCCAATTTCTAAGCTTATTGATATTTATTTGGTTTCAATACTTTGGCAAGTATTTAATTTGCATCTGGTATGCTAGATTTATATTTACAATTTGGTTGTTAAAGTTTGTTTGATTTGCTATATTTATTTTTTTACTTTTGTATTTGTTTTTTATTTTTTGCAACTAATATAAAATTTTGATCTCTTTGTATACTGTATATTTTGTAATTGCTTTTTTGAATTGCAGTTCTGTTTTTTTAATATTAATCTATGAGATGTGTTTAGCTACTGCTTGTATAATTGCCTTACTTATAGTATTTTACTCTTTATTAATATTAGTTTTGCTATTTTGAAGTTCTCATACATCCTTTTTAATTTTGAGTGAATATTTTACAGCTTTACTATAAGCATCTCAGTTCTTTTTTGTAGCTTTGTAGTATAAGAAAACTCTTCTTGTTAGTCTATTTTCTTTTTTTCTCTTAACTTGCTATAGTTAAGTATTGCACTAGTATTTATATTTGTCTAAACTAACTTGTAGTTGCTGCCTATAAGTTTGTTTGTATTTTTTATTGTGGCTTTATCTACTATTTCACTTATTTTTTCTTCAAGCCATATATAATCTATTCTTGAAACAAAATTTTCTTTTTGATATATATATTCTTTTTTATAAAGATTTTTATAATAGTATAAATTGACAAAGTTTTTATTTTTAAGCCACTCTAAAAGTATTCAACCTAGCACAAGTTGAATTAATAAATAATGAGTATATATTGGAAGACAAATCTTCCAGTATGTACCTATTATTCTACTATACATCTGCCAAATAACTATAGCATATCAATAGCATATTGGTAACATATAGGTTAGATATCAGAAGGTAGATTGATAATGGTAATATAACAGTAACATACCGGAACATCCTGATATCTTACTCTTATCCAAATAGTGCTAAGAGTAAGATATCGAGATGTTTCAGTATATTACTATTATGTTATCATTATTGTTCTATCTCTTGATATCTAATCTGTATATTATCAATATGCTATTAATATGCTACAGTTTAGTAAATGTGGCTGATCAAAATTTATTGGCTAAGCTTAGCTGATAAATTTTGGCCAGCTTAGTCAACTTAGCTGATTTCCTAATTAGGTCTTAATCACATGACCAGATATGTTATATTCATTTATATAGCAGATAGCGATAGATTGCTCACATATTTGAACTTTACTAATATTAAAAATACTTTAAATAAATTTGAAAAAAATAAAAATAAAAGTCAAAATTACAAGATTAGTTAAAACTTAATAAGCATTTATTTAATAATTTTTTTGCATAAAAATGAATTCTCATTACTTCTACCTATACTATTAACAAATCTATTAAGTTAGCTTTTTTTATATGATCAGTTAAGATTTAATAAGTATTTATTTAATAATTTTTTTTTAATATTCATCTAACTCTTTTTTCTGTATAAAAATAATTCTAATCACTTTTACCTACACTGTTAACAAATCTAGTAAGGTAGCTTTTTTTATATGTTTAGTTAAAAAATAATTTTTTTTTTTAATATTCATCTAACTCTATTTTTTCTATATAAAAATGAATTTTCATCACTTCCACCCACACTGTTAACAAATCTATTTAGCTTTTTTTATACTAGTTTAAATCAGAATAGGGATTAAAACAATTCTGATTTTCTTTCAGAAAAAGTAGGTCATGAACTATGTCGGGAAGAAGGCGATTTTGTTTATCAGTTATAATGTTTCTAGCATCAGAAAAGAGACGCTCTGAGAGAAATAAGGTTTCTGGAATTGCTAAATACCGCCATGCTTGTTGTGCCATTAAGGGAAGTATTGATTTATTGTCTCGCCAAAAGTCTAAAGGGTTATGTTTTTATAAAAAGGATTAGAAGGATCATATTTTATCATCTGAGACATATCAAAATTCACCTTTAGTTCAGTTTCAATAGGACAAACTTCTTGAGAAGTTTTTTCAAATAATGAATTTAATAAAGAGGAAGATGATCTATTTTCAATTGAAGGTGTTGCTAGATATATATTTTTTGCATATTCCAACCTGTGTTTTAATTTATTTTTTATTAATTCTAGTTTTTTTGGCTCAAAGCTTAGATTCTTTTAAATCTTGAATCAAGAATAGTAGCAATGTACCCTTCTACTCCAGGCTCATCTCAATGGTTTCCAAATGAGAGCTCTATCTCATTACGTACATCACGAACAATTGAATGTTTAAGTATCATTTCATTTTCAAATAGATGATCTTGTAATATTCTAATTAATGATAATATCATTGAAAAAGTAGAATATTGATCACTGCCCATTATGGTTATAACATATGCAAAAGGACTTAACAACTTAACCAACTCTTGAATTCTTAATAAATCTTCTTCTTCAAGAAGCAACTCTTCTAATGCTTTAGAATTTTGTTTAATAGTTCTTTCTTTATCTTTTGCAAAATCTTTTTGCAATCTTTTAATAGCTTTATAAAGATAAAGTAGATGTTCTAACAATAAATAAATTGAGTTCCATCTGGTCATGGTATCATTAAATATTGGATCAAGAGCAAAAATATTTTTATTGTTAAGTAATAGATTTTTTTCCTTAAAAATTTCAATTTGTATTAATTGTAATCTTTCTCTAATTTTGTCTTTTCCAGCAATAGAGCTTTTGCATAGTCAATTAAGTCAGTAGTCTGTTTTAAACTATCTGTAATACCAAGTTGGATAGTATGAGCTGTACATCTTATATATAAAATCTCAATACAGCCTACCCTTGTTAATATCAACCTCATTAATATCAATCTAAGCCATAAGATGAATTTTTACTAATTTTTATATATTAAAACCCCCTTATATATATCAACTTTTAATATAATCCCTTGTTAATATCACTATCAACATGAATTTAAATCAATTCAAATGGGTTGATATAATCGAGGGTAAACTGTATTGTTTAATGCTTTTATCATTAAACTGGCATTATTAGTTACATCAGCTATATATTTGTCGCTTAAACCCCATTTAGCTAACTCTCTTAGTAAACAATCTTCAATATAATCTGATGTATGTGGATATGAGAAACTTTCGATAGTAAGTAAAGCCTTACACATTTCAAATTCTGAAAAAAGCCAGTAGGCCGTAATCCCAATATATAGTTTGTAGTCTTGAGTCCACAAGTTTGTAGTAAATGCAAAAGATTCTAACATATTTTCAATTAAATTTCTTAACCTATTTTTAGTATAGTTTACTGCCTCATATATTTTTTGTTTGAACATATCTCTACCTGGAAATTGATATTGTGGCTCTGCTTCATATAAAAGATCATGAAATTAGTTATTTTTTAAAATATTAAATGGTTGCATATCATTAATTATCCAGGCTAAGATTCGGAAGGTAATTTTGTTTTGTTTTTTTTCTGGTAATGGCATTCTACAACTAAATAATTTTGGCAAAGTAGATTGTGATAGATCCAATTGAATAGTTAGTGGTTGAGTTATTTCTTTTACACCACTTAGAGGTAATAAAGGCCTATTTTATCTAATCTATAATTAGCTCAAAGATGAGATACTAAATTTGTTATACTGGTTGTGAGTTTAAAAGTATTTAGGCATTGTTGTTTTTTATTATCATCACCAACTCATACTTTGCATATAACTTTTTTGTTAAGTTTGTCTTTTTTCATGTGTTTTCATACCCAACTTTTTCCTGGTTTAGACCTTTTTTTAGTATTAATGTTGGGTAATTTACTAAGTTTTCTTTTATTTTGAGTAAATATATGTAAAATATTAGATAATTCTTCATTTAAAAAATGTGTATTATTTAAAGAATATTTATTTTCTGATAAAAGTTCATTAGTTAGAAAAGATTTACTATCTAATAACAAATAAGGCTCTTTATCAGAAGATAAGAATAATTCTTTATTTAACATTAAACTTGGTCCTTCGCCTGGTGATAGATTTGATTTATCTAAATACAAGTCTTTGTCAGAAAAATTTTTTAAGGATATTTTGTAAAGTAAATAGATTCTTAACAAATATTGAATTTAATTAAAAGTATAATAGTTTTCTTTTTATATATATTTGATTTAATATAAATTAATATTTATTTATTTTGTAAATTATGTGTTTTGCATAAGGTCATTTGCTTGGCTTGAATAAATCATTTAGTGCATGATTACATTTGTATGAAATGACTCCAAATAGTTATGGCTAAATTTATTATATTTATAAATTGTTCTATTTTTTTTCTTTAATATTAATATTGTTTGTATTTTTCATAATTAAAATGTGTATGAATAAAAATAAGATTCTTTTAAATTGGGCTAATACAGCTAAATCAAACTTTAGATAAACCCAATATTATTAAAATTATCGTTAATATTATACATTATAAATTAAATATAAAGCTTTATAGTAGGTAAATAAGAATTTTTCAGAATCATATATTAATATATATCGGCCTATTTTTAAAATTTTTTTATAGAACGGGTGTGGCGACTTAGTGAAGTGGTAGAGTTGTCGCACCCCCAAACGGCAGGTCTAGAGTTCGAATCCCATGGATGACGATTTTGAAAAAACTAGATCTGTATCGGTTAAC